TAGCTGAAATGATTTCCATTGAAAAAAATACTGTAGGGTAGAAGTGAGAGGTTGCTGTCAGATTGCTTACATTTGTTCCTTTTTCTCCATGCTCAGATTAGCTAAAAATCTTCCATTCCCTTTTGCCTTGTAAATACAGCAGTACCCCTGACATTCAAGGAGAGAGTAATTTAATATGCTGTGCTGTCTTAATCAGGGACTTACGTGCAGCAAAATCTGACATTTTTATCTAGACTATATTATGTAAAGCAGTGAGCTGGGGGACCAGGTTTGTGTTACAACTGTTGACAGCTAATGTTTTTCAGTAAGTCATGCAGCAGCAGAGGAGCGCCGCTTTCCCATTCCCACCGTACCGCTGAGCCACTGCTGCAAGGGTGACAATGTGTAACAATGGAGGTTGGAAAGATAAAGTTGAAGTTGACACGAAAAGCGTGTGACAAAGAAGCCCAACAACTGAGATACCCATAGCTGAAAAATCTGTGAGAAAGTTGTTCAGCACCTGGCTGATACTCGAAGACAGTTACAGTATTCTTTTCCTTGCAGAAGGTTGGTAAGCACTCCTCAATAAATTCCAGTGGCAGGCCTGTAATAAAGCGGAGCTGATGCAAGTTGGCACAGTTTGAAATTTCACCATATGTTCTAGTTCAGTTAAGATGTATTTCTGTTGCTTTATGCTTTTTGCATCCTTGATCTGCAAGAGTAATGAATAGGGCATGATCTCTTGCAGTTACCATTGCAGTGTTAGATGCATTAAACTCCTGTGACTCGAATACCTGCAGTAAGACACCTGAATACCTGCAATTAGAAATGCAAATATTGTTCTTATTGAGCAGTCCAAAATCAAGGAAAGCTGCTGACTTTCTAGTGTGTTCAACAAGCTTTGTAGCCAGCCAAGAAACAGGCAGCGAAGTGGAGCATTTTCAACATTATTCATGTCCAGTGCTATTTACAGCTTTTCTAGACCATCACTTCACCTAAAAATGTATGGGAACCCAGGCCTGGGGTTCCCACAGCACAGAAGTGACGTGTTGATTTGAACCCTGCCAGCTTAATTAACATGGCTGTATTTCCTCCTACCTGGAGCTCCTGAAAGCTCTTTGTTAAGCATAATGCATTACAACAACCAAATTTAGATGTGACAAATAACACTGTTCTTCTGCCAACAAATCTACTGCCCTGAAAACTCTTCCCCCTTTTTATTTCTCTGTTGAACGTCCATGTCATTGAGCACATGGAGAGTTGACATAATTTAGTATTTCAGTTTTTAGAAATCAGTAACTTCAGTAGTGTTGAAGTTCAGGTATTCCTTTATTCAAAGAGAGAGTAAAATTGTCCATTATAATGTTAGAGATCATGTGGTAAATTATAAATTAAATGGTGATCCTGGAACGCACAGACACCACCTGTGACTGTGACTGCAGACTCAGTGAGGTCTCTGTGACGTACATGCAGTTAAACCTGTATATTGTCTCTGAATAAAATGAAGAGTACTAAAGAAATTTCAGCATGAGTATTGCCCCACACTTTTTTAGATTATGTTTTAGCAATCTCTTATCACACACTGGATTCGTAATCACTGTCAACTCACTCTACTTTCCTTTTCAATAAGGAACAGTGATGTTATGCAATGTTACTATGTAGAACATGCCCTGGTTTTTTTTAGTCCTATTTTAAGAACATACATCTGAGTAAAACTACATTTTTGGTGATGCTAAGTCTTCCCCCAGCAGTTAACATTTCATCTATATTTATGTGACATGACTTTATGCTTTATAGTTTTGGCAGATGGAGGAATGATTTTCTTCACATTTCTCATACGGTGAGGAATTTACAGGAGCTAGTTTAGCAATAGCAAGCAGAGGAGGCTTTGATTTGTTTACTTAACATATGTGTCACATACAAAAGGCAGTGTCCTTCCACTGTAGTTGTTAATAACTAGCTGCTCCGAATGGATTTGTGCCAACACAAAATCCACCACCACAATTAGCAGTAATAGGAACTTCGGCTGGCAGCAGCAGTGAAGGCAGTAAAGATTAAATGACTGTGTGAATTGTCCCTCCGAATTAAAACTGATGTACATTGGCAAATAGTAAGAAAATTCACACCACTGCTACCCTTATGCTCTGTTCTACTCTGGTAATAATTAAGAGAAAATACTGCTGTCTGCAACTCACTAGTTCTCACATGATGTAGATCCACTGCAGTAATGACAAGAATTATAGAATCATAGAATACTTAGGGTTGGAAAGGACCTTAAGATCATCTAGTTCCAACCCCCCTGCCATGAGCAGGGACACCACACGCTAAACTATGTTGCCCAAGGCTCTGTCCAGCCTGGCCTTGAACACCTCCAGGGTTGGAGCATTCACAACTTCCTTGGGCAACCTACTCCAGTGCCTCACCACCCTCACTGTGAAGAACTTCCTCCTTAGATCTAACCTAAAGTTCCCCTGTTTAAGTTTAAAGCCATCACCCCTTGTCCTACCACTACAGTCCCTAATGAAGAGTCCCTCCCCAACATCCTTGTAGGCCCCCTTCAGACACTGGAAGGCTGCTATGAGGTCTCCACGCAGCCTTCTCTTTTCCAGGCTGAACAGCCCCAACTTTCTCAGTCTGTCTTCATACGAAGACATACCAGTAAAACATCTCAGATTACAAAACGTTATAGATGACTTTCAAATGCTCGAGGATACAAATAACCTTCTGAAGAAAAAGCGTGGTTTTGGGAGGCATTTATCAGTTATGTGCCTGTTACTGACTTCTAGCTGGTGATGCACATGTACTTCCAAAAGGTCGGCTTGAAAATTCCACTAAGTGACATCCAAGAAGTTATTTCTTTTCAGGGTAGAAAATCTTCCAGGAGCTACAGAATCTCAGCAAAATAGTATTCATGGTAATATCTCTATAGCATAGAATACGAACTTGGTCTGGAGCAGGTTGTCAGAGCTACAGTAACAACAAACCCTCCCCCTTCTCATGAACCATGGCTTAATTATACTAATCCTTGTACAATCAAATGAATGAAAAAAATAGTAGAATGAGGATTTCAATAATTATTTTATTTTACAGTATTAACTGATAGAGTACATTATAGATGAGCCCAAGTTTCTATAGAGTGATTCAGTTTGTTGTCCCATAGTGTCTTATATGACATACTTTCAAAATACGACTTATTTTCCACACTTTAAATGAACCTCTAGCAATGTGCTAGAGCATCTCAGAAATATTTTAGGCTTAAGAGTTGTCCAAACCTAACCTTTGAATGCAGAAACACAGTAAGACATCTGATTTGTGGGTCAGGGTGTGTGGAAAGCGCAGCTGTTAACCATGACCTTGAAGAGGCTTTGCAGCTGCAGTTATGGTGCAGCATTAGGAGTGACACATCTTTGTAACATTTTGTACTTTGTGAAATGCCATGTCTTAACCTCTGGGTTTGCAGGACAGCATCTGATTCCTTCTATTTGTTATGGACAGAATTAAATCTCACAAGTCAATCTAAGTTGTCTGTCCTTTCCTGGTCATTCTGAAAGCAACCAGAAGACAGAAGCTTTGTAGATGTACAGGGAACACCATGCAGTTTTGTCAGTAACTTTAGCATGTGCATGAATAGGTATGTGCCAAATTTATGCACATGAATTTGGACATCCTTGCTGTAGAATTTTCAGGACTAGAGCAATTGCTTTGGTGTTGAAAGCAGTTAAAAGCTTCCATGGAAATAGACGCCTGGTGCCATACTCTGGCATTGGTTAGACATTCCAGTGATAATAGTTTGCCAGGAAGCAAGGCTAGCAAAAAAAAAGCCAAATCCAATTCAAATTTATCATCAGGTAAATGTGAGTTTTGGCAGCAGGACAGAATTATTCACTTTAGACTTCACTCAAGACACACAGTGAACCCCACTCTTCATAAGGAATGTGACCCATTAGCAGCAATATATGCTAAACTGTGCCTCTAACCAGTTAGGTCCACCAGCAGCACATCAGGAGACACTAATTCTACAATGTATTACCTATGCAAACCAGATGCAGTTTTCCCCAGTATTTTCTGTTCCCTGATTTCCCAGTACTAACTGCCCGAGCACTGGGCTACCCCAGTGGAGAGGTGCTGGAGCTCAGGGAAGCAATATGTAAGGTGTAACAGCTGATGCAACGTTACTGCTGTATGGGAAAGGTCAACCCCTGTAAAATCATGGACAAACAGAACTCTGAAGAACTGGGCTCAGGCACAGACAGTAGAAAGAGACAGAGAAGCATGTTGTCCGGTTTTTGAGAAGTGAGTTTATGTATTAACAAGAATGTATCCTATGAAAAGGCATTTATAAAGCAAATGCAGCAAATCCAACTTTTTCACTGAGACATGATTGCTTTTTTCAACTTCATGAATAGCAAATAGGGAAAATCATGGACACACATCAATTATAATACAGTAAAATGAACATGAAAACTTTAACAACACTGAAGGCCACCATACACAACTGAAGCCTACAAATCTTTTAAACAGCCTTGCTGGCCTGCTTTGAACTTTTTGAAACCACAAGAAAGTATCTACAAACTTGGGAGTAGATAAGTATACTGCTCCCAGAAAAGGGTAAAACCCCAAAATATAACCCAAGTCTCCACATTTGGTTATTGGCTATAATACAATACCTTCAAGTCAGGAGAAGACTTAAAACATAGAACATTACAGGCTTGTTTATCAGTATAGACACCAGACATCTAACTAACTCAAGGCATTATATACAGTCCTGTTCCTGCCAGAGCTGAGAACCAGACTGAAGGCACCCCTTCCCACTATGAGCTGTTGAAGTAGAGTATTCATAAAAGCAGGGTTTATTTCTTAAACTATCTATTAAAGAAAAGGACACAGCATATTCCAAATCAAATTCACTTTGTTCCAGAACTTTCACATATAAATCTGTGTATAATGTTTTGTACGGTGAAAAAAGTCAGTCTAAAAATACTGCTCTTTTATCCATACTGTGAGAAAAAGCACAATTTATTATAACAGGAAATAATACTTTATTATAAAATTTACATGTAAACAAGTAACAAATTAATTGAAGAATGGTTAATGTAAGTGCAAATTAACGTCATAAAATGGTATCTGTTCTGTATTTAAATATAATTTTTGTCACATTCTAATGTGGTTGTGGTTCTACTCCACCATCCCCAAATTTCAGTTTAAAAAGATTTATCATTGCTTGCTTTATACTAAAAAGAGTGTACGAGCCTGCGTACAAGTTGAAGTTTTGCTCTGCAAACGAGACACATCTATGGTGATACTTATCATCCCTTCTTATCTTTACATCTCTGGTATCCACAGGACAAGAAGATATATAACATATATACACAGTGAAAATGTGGGCATGTCAAGCCACTTAAAGTTAGTTCATTCGCTTGCACAAATTGGAACTTAAACCATTTATCAATGAAGCAGACACTGTACTGTAACTTCCAGACTTGCTTGCACACCTTAAGGCATTAACAGAGTCTCAACTGTAAGTCATTCTTGTTATCACCATAAGGATCATCTGTACAGTTCTTGAACAGTCAATTGCTTGTTCATCACCCACATGCAACAAGCTGGCCTTGCTGAAACCTCCTAAAGCACAGATAGGTCATGGCAAGACTTTGATTTTGCTTTGAAAGCCATCTTCTTGTTGTTCTTTGCCACAATTCTCCCCAGGAATCGCTTTGCCTTTTTGCCTATGCTTTCTCTTCTTTTTGTGTTGGCCATTCTCCGAGCGTTGTCTTCCTTACTGTCTTTGCGAAGTCTAATTTGTCGAACAATACCTTCAAACAGGTCCTTGACATTATGATGAAGAGCAGCTGAGGTCTCGATGAATTTGCAGTCAAACACAACAGCACAGGCCCGTCCCTCTGAATGGAAAGAGAAAGAGAGATGAGTGGAGATGGACATTTTCTCTTCATATATACTGGCAGAATAAAAAAAAACCAAAAAAATTTGACTTTAATTTCACTTTATGAAAGTGCCCTCAATGCCACAGAAGAGCTTTACTACATAGTAGGAAAGTGCAAGTTTGCACTCAGGTGGTGTTTGCCCCCTTATTCTTCTTGGGTTTGTTGTGGTATTTGACCAATGACACTGAATATAAGGCAACACTAGTCCTTTAGGCAGACCATCCCAGTGCTGTTTAAAAGCTAAAGCTGGTACAGGATTGGCACTTGGATGCACACTTACTGTTTGATAGCAAGAGTGTGAGGTCCAGGAAGAAATGGGTTTTATTTCTTCTGGAAGTCACTGAGCCATCAGGAACCTCTGCCTTGCTGTAATAACCGAGTTTTCCACACTAGCTACAAATGAAGCTTCTGAAGTCCATAAAGTCAAGTCATTGAACATATCACTAGATGTTATGAAGTTGTACACTGCTGGATTTGACTAGGACTGCATTCAAAATGCAAGATGCTCAATGTTCCAGATGTAAGCATGTAACTCTGGAACATTGCTGCAGTGCCAATTTCCATGTCCATAAGTAGTGGCAAAGTTGTGAGCTTAAGCAAAATACTGATGTTGCAACTAGGGCAGGTTAACCATGCACTGTCACCAGCCTGAAAAAAGTGATCATCTGATGAACTACAGTCAGTCCCCTGTGCAGGCATGTAACACAGGGAACAGGGCAAAACCAGACCACCACACTCACCCCTGTTTTCTGTGGTACTAAGTCTCTCCCAGCATGAGCCAGATGGCTTGATTTTTCCAGCACGCCTCAAAACATGTGTTTTTCTTCATCAAAACCAGACCATTTCTACTGGCCATGATCCTCCACAGCCTTTGCTACTACTTTAGCCACTACTGTGTAAGTGAATGGTGTCACTTACCATCAACCGAGACTTCCCGGGATCTGACCAGGTCGCTTTTATTGCCCACAAGAATAATAGGAATGTCTTCTGTTTGCCTTGCTCTTCTTAGCTGGATTCTTAGCTCAGAGGCCTTTTCAAAGCTGACTTTGTCTGTCACTGAATATACAATAATATAGGCATCTCCCATCTTCATACAGTGGTTCTGAAGCCACTGGCTGTCATCCTAAAAAAAAAAAAACAAAAAAAAAAAAAAAAAAAAAAAAAATTTATTGCATTGAAAGTCTATTCAATACTGTTTTAATTATTGTAAGCACCTTGAATGTATTTTTCTTAGCTTTATTATGACGAGTCAGTGAAAGTAAGCCAACCTCTCGACTTTTTTGAAAAAATATTTAAGATATATCACAAAACAAAATTCTCTTGTTTCTAGAAAACCTGTCAGGTCTGCACTGCTCAGATTGCAGCTCTCTAATTTTACAGTAGTTTCCTTGAGCTGCTCATGGAACATGCTGCTTATTCAGAACATTAACTCCAACGCTCTTCAGGTTTGTAAATTGCCCACAATACAGTACCTACAGTAAGTTATTTGCAGGGGAGAACAAAGGCAGTACGAATTCTAATTTTTAATGTCACTTATTTAACGTTATCTTTTTTTAGTGTTAAGTTATCCGACTGGAGAACTAGACAGACATAGCTGTGCTATTTCTGCTTTTGTGAAGAGTGAACTACCGACAAGCCATAAAGAAGAGATACCAAATCTGTAATTACCTGCTCCCATATATCGAACACCACGAGAGACGCCTCTTCTCCATCAACTATAATCGACCTGTCGTACGTATTTCCTACAGGAAAGATAAGTTCAGAAAAAGCAGTTACTCTCCTCCGTCCCCGCCGGGGTGGCCTCAGGGGGATGTCCCGGGAGCTACGGGACCCCCGGCACC